GTACAAAAGAATACAGTTAAATGCAGCATGCCAAAGCCACTTGAATTCAGAGCATTACGGGCAGGCTTAAAATTAACTTAAGATTAACTAAGCAATGAAGTATTCAGTGGTAAAACATTATTGTAAACAGATAACAAGCACAAATGAGTATTACAAAGACAGGTCATACCTGGAGTTTACCTGGAGAGAGTTCCGGGGGTCAACGCCCCCGCGGCCCGATCTGTGTTGCTTAGTGTGATGTCCAAAATTTTAGAGAAAGACGGTGTATTGTAAAGTAGCTAAGTATCTTAATAACAAAAACATTCTCCATAATTAACAATCAGGTTCCAGAAACTCTTACTCGACCGACACCTCCCTAATTAATCTGATGGACTACCTGAGAACTCAAAGGCGTTAGGGAATATCATAAGTATTGATACCCCTAGACTTACAAAAGGCCTTCGATACAGTAAACCATAATATATTATGTAAGAAACTACAAACTATCGGCATAGGCCCTGCAGGCTGGTTTAAGTCCTACCTGAGCAACAGGAAACAAATTGTCAAAATCAATAATACAGAAGCAGAACCCCTGCCGATAAGATGTGTGGTTCCCCAAGGCAGTATTCTGAGGATTTCACTATTTTTGTTATGTGAATGGTATGGCCATCAGTATCAGGTGTAAGCTTGTATGAAGACGACAATGCGCTGCTAGTCTCAGGTAAAGACCCACAAGATATAGCTAATATATTATCACTAGAACTAGAGTCCTGCATGCATGGTCAGTAGACAACAGACTATCGCTATATCTTGGGAAAACAGAAGCCATATTCTCTGGCACGAAAATTTTTTTGAAAAAGGTAAATGCTTTTAAAGTTCAGTATAATAGGAAACCCATCACTTCAGTATATTCAGTGAAATACCTGGGAATTCTTTTTGACTCATGCATATCAAGGGAATTGATAGAGAACAATGTAGTAAAAAAATGCCAGGCGAAAGTTCCTTTATAAACAGGTACAGTGTCTATCTGTTGAGGCGCACAGGACCTGGTTTTAGCTCTTATAGTGCCATGTAGATTAATTATTCTTCTTTAATAAAAAATGAAATACGAACTATAAATCACTCAGAACAAAATGGTGAGTTTCATCCTGGTCCTGGGACCAAGAGAACATGTACACCATGTACAGTGATATATGGTTAACATTCGTTTATCTATTATTATAAGATTATCCTCTCTATTTAATGTTTATGTAAATCAATCAGTTCACTTTGATAAATTAGACACATATGCAACTCTTGGGTACCTTTATTGAGGAAACGTTTCGCCACACAGTGGCTTCATCAGTCCATACGAAGGAGAAACTTGAAGAACAGGAGGAGAATGAGGTAATCAGTCCCTCAACCTTGAGTCGATGTGTTCAGTCCATCAATCTTGAATAGAATACGGCATATCAGCGGAGAAGCAGCTTATAAACCGTATGGCAGGAGAGGTGCAGCAGTCATAGGTCGTGTCACATTTGTTCAGTGTGGAAGTAGGTCGTGCCCAAGAATTAGGCAAGCGAAGAAATTCCTAAGTATTAAGATCCCAAGAAGTTGCAGTGTCTGACAGATTGATGGACTGAACACATCGACTCAAGGTTGAGGGACTGATTACCTCATTCTCCTCCTGTTCTTCAAGTTTCTCCTTCGTATGGACTGATGAAGCCACTGTGTGGCGAAACGTTTCCTCAATAAAGATACCCAAGAGTTGCATATGTGTCTAATTTATCAACATGTCGGTTCTCTGAACCATTCATCTGCAGTTCACTTTATTCACGCTACACATCCTTCTACCGTAATTGTTTTCACACAGTTGAGTTACTTAGCTGCTTTAATTTTTAAGGTTATAATTATAACTGATTTCTACTGTATCTTACAGCTAAGTTTTAAATAAAAAGATAAGACAAGCACCCCATTGGAAGTAAGTCACTTCGTCTGATTTTTTGGGGTCATCCTAGCTAATTTACACATACGTTACTATGTATGATAATTGTAGTTACTTAAATTTGTGTAACTGTAGTTAAGTGCACCTGTACCTAATAAACTTAATGAAGAAGCATAAAGACTTGTAGATTCAGAGACCTAAAGTATACCTGGGTGTTTCTGGGGTCAAAGCCCCCCTGGCCCGGTCCATGACCAGGACTCGCGGTGGGTCAGGACCTGATCAACCTATGTTACTGCTGGTCACACACAAACCGACGTACGAACCACAGCCTGGCCTGTCCAGCTCCCTCTTGGGTTGTAATCTAAGTCATTTCTTTCTATCCAAGCGTTTTATATTGTAGTCTCGTGGGGAAAGCATGCATCACAGCTACTCGAACACATATTATTTGCAGATGACACTACATATGTCTTTTCCCACCCAAACACAGTCATACTAGCAAACACAGTCAATGCTGAATTACAGAAAATATCTGCCTGGATGATGACTAACAAACTTACCCTGAACACTGATAAAACCTATTTCATTCAGTTTGGAAACAAAGCTGCAAATGATTCAATTAACATAACGCTAAACAGATCAGTCACAAGACTGACAGAGGGAAAATTCCTAGGTATCCACCTTGACAGTAGCCTTAAGTTCCAGACACATATACAACAAATCACCAAGAAAATCTCCAAGACTGTAGGCATGCTATCAAAGATAAGGTACTAGGTTCCACAATCAGCTCTCCTGGCACTGTACCATACACTCATATACCCTTATCTTACATATGGAATTTGTGCATGGGGATCAACAACATCCAATCACCTAAAACCCCTAATAACCCAGCAAAAGGCAGCAATAAGAATGATAACAAATTCCCACTCCCGCCTGCATACTCCACCAATTTTCAAAAGTCTGAATCTGCTCACCAGTAAGAGCATCCATACTTATTCACGTGCCTACTACATACACAGAACAATACACGCAAATATGAACCCCCCACTCAAACTTCTCCTCACCAACCTAAACAGGACACATGACCACAACACAAGACAGATCTCTTTTTGATATACCTCGTGTCCATATCACACTGTGTAAAAACTCTATGCACATAAAGGGCCCCAAAATATGGAATTCATTACCAGAAGATATTAAAGTAACCCAGTCTGAAAATCAATTTAAGACTCTTCTCAAAAGCCACTTAATCACCCTAGACGAAATGCTAAATACTCAGTATACATATACTCACCTATGTACTCCCACATCATAACTGAAACAATCACATTGAACCTTGTATCCATTGTTGACACGAATATAATTGAATCATTGTTTTCACAACAGCATTTTAGAATATAAATATATCTTTGTATTATACAAATTTTGACTCATTTATAATCAATATTCTACTGTACAACTATGAAATAATTACTTTCCTACTGTACAACTATGATATAATCCTTAGTATTAAGTAGACTGTAAGCCAATAATGTTAAGTTGGCCCATAATGCCTAGGCATAATAGAGGCTCTTTGTATTGCAACCCACTATTGTAAATACAAAATCTCAATGTACTGTTTGTAAAGACATAAAATAAATAAATAAATAAATAAATAGGTTTTCCTCATAGAGCTGGGTTCCAGGCTCGTTGAAACCATCAGAGGCCCGAGAGCTGCCATTTTTTCCCTTCCAGTGCATCACTGTGGTGATCCAGAGAGGAAACACTTGCTGCATCTTGGGTTCCCGTCCGGTGTCTGGGGAGCTCCAGGAACTCCACAAATTAAATTAAGAGTTTCCATTCTTTCCAGTTTTGCATATACGTAAGTACATTCCTACAACTACTGTACTCACATATGTTCCGTCGCATTATTCAAATAAAAGTTTTAACAAAATTCATATATATGTATATATATAGTGAGGTTAATATCTCTCTGTGTATATACTCAAACAACTGGTGAGAAATTCCTAGATTTTTCCCCAAGGTGCCTTTATCATTTTCCTCTCTCTCTATCTGTATATATATATATATATATATATATATATATATATTATATATATATATATATATATATATATATATATATATATATATATATACATATATAATGTCGTGCCGAATAGGTAAAACTTGCTTAATTAGCAACACCCTTCTTGCCAAATAAGGCAATAATTTCGCAAAAACCATTTTGAACCTAATGAAAAAAAAAATATTTCGTTGTGTTTGTTTATTATTAAATTATTGTAAACTTATCTAAAATATATTTAGTTGGATTAGGCTAAATTAAATTGCGCTTATTATAATAAGGTTAGATAAGTTTTCTAAGGTTCTTTTGGTACAAAATTATTAATTTTTACATTATCATAAGAGAAAATTTAAGAAAGGACTTAATTTTAAATGAGGACTTGCTATTTGACCAATTTTACCTATTTGGCATGATTATATATATATATATATATATATATATATATATATATATATATATATATATATATATATATATATATATATATATATATATATATATATATATTATATATATATATATATATTACTGTGACCACGAACAAGTGGTATTGATCAATAACAACACTGCACTAGCCAAGGACTCGAACCCATGCTGCTTTGGCCTGCCTCATGGTTGGCGAAAACACATGACCCCCTAAGGATCGTATGGTCCAGTGGATTAGGGCGTCATGTGTTTTCGCCAACCATGAGGCAGGCCAAAGCAGCCTGCCTCATGAATATATTCAGTGGCGGGCCTACATCTTCGGGGCCCTGAAGCTTGAGACCCTTCGGAACTCCTTTTCATACAGTAGACTAAGTAAGTTTATTCAGGTATACACAAATACAGTTACATAGATTATCATACATAGTAGCATATGTGTATAGAACCTGAGATAACCCAAAATAGCCAAAGTGACTTATTTCCATTGGGGTCCTTTAGACCCAAAATTTTTAAGCAATGTGGACTAAAGTTGCCCTGGCAAATATTCCTGATGTAAAGCGACTTACCTCAACAAGGTAATTAAGCGCTTAACGTGAACATAATAATAATTACCTTGATAAGGAGGGAAGCTATGTGTAACCGATGAGGAATGGTACCAGCAAACTGCCTTACAGTACCCTCCTACGTTCTATTGGTCTCCTCCTGATAACAACAGATACTTGTTATCTCCATCACTCCCAACCCTTTAACCTTCAGCTATATAATTTTTTTACATTTATCTACTGGCCTTCCCTTTGCTGCTGTACATTGCTATTGCTGCCCTTCTACTACAGTTTCCTACAGGCGCATTGTTCACGAGTTTGTGTCAGGCGCAGTTGTGTGTGTAAGGCGCTGTGGGTGGTAGTAATCATTGGTAATTGTGGCATTGACAACCAGGCTTTTATATTCATGAACCTTTATCATAAGCTGATTAAGAGAAATAACGTAGTAGCAACGCCGAAAGATCCTTGTTTTTAGTTAATTTAATATGTCCATGGGGAGACAGTTTTCTGCGTAGATAATAATAATAATAATAATAATAATAATAATAATAATAATAATAATAATAATAATAATAATATAATAACAGAGTTGGAAGTCAATCAGGTTCCTGCCTCAAAACCACTATTTTGCACTTTGAAACATATTTTAATAAAAATGAAGATAAATTGCGTTATCTTTAGATTATTAGACGTATTGCTCTGGCAATAAAGCTTAGTAAAGATACAAAAAATACTCTATGAAACCTTTTTTGACGTATAGCCCACACAGAGGGCTTTATTGACAACGTTTTGTCTACAAAAAGGGCTTTACTGGCGACGTTAGTTCAGGGATTACTTTCCTGATAGACTGCTGCTAGTTAGACAAATACTGGTGCCACATTACTGGCTGCTGGTGATGAGGTCTGGTGCTGAAACTAATGTCAACAGTAATTTTCTTGTGCTTTGGTACTGTCTCTGAGGGCTGAGTTTTATTTATCATACTTCAACATATTCACATATTTAATGGCAGCTAATACATTATATGTACACACTACATACGCATTTTCTTCTCTCTTTTTCTTTTGTTTAATGATGTTTGCGTACATATCCAAGCTTAATCCGGCCACTGATCAGGTAAGTTATACATAAATACTGGTGGTAAATTCTCTCGGTCGTGGATATGGCTTATACCTGAATAGTAGTTCGCTATTTAAAACATATTTCATTTTCCCAAATCGCCTCTTCATTTGCTTGTGTATTTTTCTATTTACAGGTTCGACAGTGAAGGGAGACACAGATGATGATCAAACTAAATGTAAATTATGTGATCAGGCATATGGTCACTCTCTTGAACACTATGTGCTTAATTGTCCACTTATTGAGGAATACAGAGACAGACAGTATAATAACCTATGTGACATGTCAAGATATCAGATATGCTAAGCAAATTTCCTAAATTTGCTTTAACAGATAAGTGAACTGTAGATATGTAGATAAAAAAAACAAATGTACACTTGTTAACCCTTTGGGGCCTAGTTCCTAGGCCTTTTGTGTATCTATATGCTCTTGCGCTACCTTCCACAGGATGGATGTGGGGTGCACAATAAACTAGCCACTTCGGTGGCAAAATATAAATCCAGTGAAGTCCGTGTGTTAATCTTCCATCTTCATTCTGAGGTTCATGTTAGCAACAAACCTTAGTTTTAGAGTTTCTAAAAATAAGTGCCATGGTACCCTAGTATGGTACAGACTGACATCGTAAAGAGGTGAAGTTTTGTGTGGGTTGATCTAGTCTGGTTAAATCTGTCAAGGCTTCTTCAGGATAAGACAAGTCTCGTTTATCCTATAAACGAGAATTATCCTTGACCCTTTGATCACTTTCGTTACCCCTAGTATCGTCAATCCTCCTTCCCCATGCCGGGGACTACCTTAATGGGAATTTCCCAAAATCCATCTATCTTGCACCAACTGAGCCCACGGAAGTCATCGAGATTATAAAGTCACTTAAAAATAACTAGGGAATCTGTCTCATGTCCCACCATTATTGTACAAGCGAGCGGCCCATGTCCTTTCGCATGCTATTTCATTACTTTTTAACAAGTCACTAGAAACTAGCACCTTCCCGAAACTACTCAAGACGGCAAGGGTTACACCAATACATAAAGGTGGTGACCCTACAGATTTAAACAACTATAGGCCAATATCAAACTTACCATTGCTATCCAAAATCTTTGAGAAACTCGTGCACAGGAGACTATATTCATTTATAACGGCACAAAACATACTCAACCCCTGCCAATTTGGATTCAGAAAAAATAAAAGCACTAATGATGCAATTATAAAAATGCTAGATCTGCTTTACACAGCATTGGAAAATAAGGAATATCCGCTAGGAATTTTTATTGACCCAAGAAAAGCTTTTGACAGTAGACCACGGCATCCTACTCCACAAACTTGACCATTATGGTATAAGAGGCCATGCGCTTGCATATTTCAAATCTTACCTTACTAATAGGTATCAGTATGTCACCATTAAAGACACAACATCAACAACATGGCCACTTGATACTGGAGTTCCGCAGGGAAGTGTCCTTGGTCCCCTGCTTTTCCTCATATACATCAATGATTTTCCCATCGTATCGCAATACCTGAACCCCATTCTCTTTGCTGCGGGTTGCGGTGTAATGCAGCGAGGTATGGACAAATAGTTGACAGTTTACCTGGAGAGAGTTCCGGGGGTCAACGCCCCCGCGGCCCGGTCTGTGACCAGGCCTCCTGGTGGATCAGAGCCTGATCAACCAGGCTGTTGCTGCTGGCTGCACGCAAACCAACGTACGAGCCACAGCCCGGCTGGTCAGGAACCCTCAACACCATTGTTAACGAGGAGCTGATCAAAATATCGACTTGGATGACAGCCAATAAACTTACGCTTAACACTGACAAAACCTACTATATTATGTTTGGTAGCAGAGCAGGAGTTGCGCAAATTAACATTAAGATCGACAACACTCTAATTGCCAGACATAATGAGGGCAAATTCCTAGCCCTATACCTCGACAACAACCTGAATTTCAGCACCCATATCCAACACATAACCAAAAAAAGTATCCAAAACGGTTGGGATCCTCTCTAAGATACGATACTACGTGCCGCAAAATGCCCTTCTCACACTATACCACTCACTTATTTATCCATACCTCACCTATGCTATTTGTGCTTGGGGATCAACTGCAGCAGCACACCTAAAGCCAATAATAACCCAACAAAAAGCTGCAGTAAGAATAATCACTAAATCCCATCCCTGGCAACACCCCCCCCACTCTTCATAGATCTAAACTTACTCCCTGTTCAGTACATCCACACTTACTACTGTGCAACCTACATATACAGGACCTTAAACTCCAATATTAACCTTGACCTGAAACGCTTTCTTGATAGTTGTGACAGAACCTACAGCCATAACACCAGACACAAACATCTCTATGACATTCCCCGTGTCCGACTAAACCTTTACAAAAATTCAATGTATGTCAAAGGCCCTAAAATCTGGAACACCCTACCTGAAAACTCTAGAACTACAGACACATTCATCACCTTCAAAACTACCATTAGAAAACATCTTATCTCCCTGATACACCCCGTCAACTAATTACACGAATACCACCTGGTGGTTCACACTTACACTCACTCACCCATTTGACCATAAACAGAAATATCAATCTCAATCTTAAAATAATGAATCCTAACTAGTCATAAGTTGGCCTGTGATACTCCAATACTGAAACTATGTATTGTGCCAAAACAAAAGCATTCACATTGCTAAACTCACAAACTAGTATTTAGTCACTTAGCCATAATACCAACTTACCTCATAATTTGTAATATTTTAAAGTTAAGAATTAATCTAAGTCTGCCCGAAATGCCTAGCCATGCTAGGTGTTCTAGTGGCTCCCTCTGTAATTAGTATTTTACTACATGTAAACCACACAATAACCAGATTCTGTACTCAGCATTGTAATCCTTATAGAGAATAAACTTTGAATTTGAATTTGAATTGAATCTTTGAAAGTGAGATCCTTGACATCATCACTCCCAGGTCCTTCACATTAGTTTTCATTCTATTGTGTAACTGGAATTTGTTTTATACTAAGATAAGATAAGATTTCGTTCGGATTTTCAACCCCGCAGGGTTAGTTAACCAGGATAACCCAAGAAAGGCAGCACGTCATCGAGGACTGTCTGTTTTAATTCCATAGGGGTCTTCAGTCTTGTCCCCCAGGATGCGACTAACACGCAGGTACCTATTTGCTGCTAAGTGAACAGGACAACAGGTGTAAGGCAACGCGTCGAAATGTTTCTACCCCACCGGGAATCGAACCCGGGCCCTCCCTGTGTGAAGCGAGAGCTTTGCCAACCAGTTTAGTTTAATATGTTTATTATGCACCACATACCCATCCTGTGGGCGACCAGGCCACGGGATCACCCGTTTTTAAATTCCTCGAGTTTTCCATAGCAAAGTAACTGAATTTTGCTTTCATTGAACTTCGTAATGTTTTCTCCCACACTAGTTGAAGGCTTTCGTGAAGTCTGTGCATGCTACATCTGCATTTTGTTTGTTCTCCAGAGCATCCAAGACCATGTCATACTAGTCCAGTAGTTGTGAGAACCAAGAGTGACCTGATGGTTCTGTCGACCCTGACAGGAAGAGAGCAGCAGCTGGACTGTACCACAATGGTCACACACAAGGCTGGCGACCCCCTGACCACTGCACGGTCCTTCCAGCTGAGCTGGTGGTGATTCAGCAGGCATTGTCACATGCCCTACGACATCGACTCCGACCTGTCATACATGTTGATTACACCTCTGCAATCAATGCCCTCTCCCATCCTCAACCACAGGACAATGTTCACCTCATCACATCGATCCTGAGCATAATGACAGCCTTAGAAGTTCAGAGTAACAGATCGACATTGAATTGGATCCCCAGCCATGCTGGCATCCGGGGAAATGAGGCGGCAGATGATGCAGCCAAGGCAGCCACAGGGTATCCACATGTTGGGATTACTGTCCCCATCAGCCTACGACAGACCAAACTGGTGGCTGCCAGAGCAATGAAACTTATTGGGGAGGTCTTAGGTGATACCCCATCTCAACAGTGGTAACCGAGCAGCGACTCAGGGAGAACTCCCTCCATATGATAGAAGCTGGTCCAGAGC